CATATCACAGTCATGGAGAAAATCATCCTGCCTTCCCAATCAAATGAAAATTAATGCCTTTCGAGCTATAAATTCTGAATGATGTCCTTCAGTCCAAAATATTATTTAGACATATTGTTGCATGTACATTGGCTACAGGTTACGACAAAACTTGAGAATGTTCAAGGCACAGTCTATTTATACCACTGATCAGAGTACTGACGTACACTTGCATTCAAACATAGACTATATTAATTTTCCAGTTATGTAAAGGAGAACTTTGGGTTAAGCAGATGTCGTGAAGGAAAATTAATTTTCATCAGAGAGCATTAGCTGTTCTGGTAGCATAATAACATTGTATCAAAATATAGTTTTTTTTTTAAATTATGATATTTTGAGAAGTATTTTCAAATCAGTATTGAAGTGAATAGTATTTTTTAGGGATGCACCGATACCGATACTTTTATTTTTGGTACTTGCCAATACGAGTACCGATACCAATATTTTTATTGCATTTGTAAATGTTTTAAATATTGGGTACATAAACCAAAAGAGTATGTATATTGTTAGTTGGTTAACTTCATTTATCAAATAGATAGTCAAACCAAAATGTATTCAAACACCTTCAACATTTCTCACATTATCACAGTTTATTCGCTATAGTTTAGAAAATGGTAATAAAATATGACAAGAAGAGTTAAACTGTGTCAAAACAAATTCAGCTTGATAATGTTAGATGATATTTTCAGAAATAGAAGTCACGTTTTTTCATCTGAAACGTGCTGTGATTTATATTCCCGAGCCACTCATATAATGCAGAAACACTCATGAAGCAAGCAAAACACGCGCAACGTGTGCACGTATTTGTACTGATGCAGAATAGTACAGCCTATAGCGCATTTCACACAAGCTGCTAGATTCACTTTCGCCAGAAAGTCGTGTATGCCTAAGGTTGAAAATAAATGATGTTTATAGTGAATGCCCCTATAAATGGTCTTATTTTTACGATTTAGTTTTAATCCAAATGATGCGTGCTAAGTGAGTGAACATCAAAGATCACACAACAGAATTGCACGCGCGCTCTCTTTCTCTCTCTCTCTGTCTCCCTACCATTAAGTAACATGTGCATTGGTTTACTTACTTGTTTTTGACATATCTGACCGAACTACAAACTTTCCAGTGATGTCTGTGAGAAAGATATATTCACTCAACAAGCTCCCGTATCTGCGCCACCGCGCGCTCAATCCACTCAGCGTGCTTTGTTTATCAGCTCGCGCACATCAGCTATACAGGCGTTAATACTGAATGTTTAACGTTATATTCATTGCATACATATACTTCGTAGTAGACATCCTTAACTCCATTCTGCTGTCTGTTGTTCTGTTGTGGATGTTTCATTGTCTGAATATGGCACCATGCTGTGTGGTATCGGCGTTTGGTATCGGGGCATTTTAACGAGTATGAGTACGAGTACATGAGCTCAGTATTGGGCCCGATACCGATACCAGTATCGGTATCGGTGCATCCCTAGTATTTTTTTATGTCAGAGAGAGGAACTATTGAATATACAGACTTAGAATCAGGCTACTGGCAAACATTTGTGACCCTGGACCACAAAACCAGTCATTAGGGTCAAAACTGATCGAAATTGAGATTTAAACATCTTCTGAAAGCTGAATAAATAAGCTTTCCAATGATGTATGGTTTGTTATGAGGTCAACATTTGGCCGAGATACAACTATTTGAATATCTGGAATCTGAGGGTGCAAAAAATATATATACCGTAAATACTGAGAAAATCGCCTTTAAAGTTGTCCGAATGAAGTTCTTAGCAATGCATATTACTAATAACAAATTAAGTTTTAATATATTTACATTAGAACATTTACAAAATATATTCATGGAACATGATCTTTACTTAATATCCTAATGATTTTTGGCATAAAAGGAAAATCTATAATTTTTGGCTATTGCTACAAATATACCCCAGCGACTTAAGACTGGTTTTGTGGTCCAGGGTCACATTTAAGCTTTTTTTCAGCTTGTTTAGATATCACAGCTATCTAATGATGCACTTAAGTTCCACTTAATAATGAGATCTATGTGCTGGTTTGGAAAACAAACATTGCTTCAGTGGAGAATAACTGAAGATGTAAGTTAGGGTGATCTTAAAAACCTGACCCTAAAATGCTCTCTCTCTCTCTCTCTCTCTCTCTCTCTCTCTCTCTCTCTCTCTCTCTCTCTCAAGTCTAATTTCTCTCTCTCTCTCTCTCTCTCTCTCTCTCTCTCTCTCTCAAGTCTAATTTATTTAGTAAATCAGTTTATTTAGACACTTTTATTGTCAATTTCATTGTAGCATTTAAAAAAAAAACATATTTCCAAGTGCCTTCATGCAGTGGTTTTCCCAGAAGTCCTTATGTGACGTTCAACAACATTCAATAAATATTTAGTTTAATACTGCTGTTGTTTTCAGGTCACTATGAGGCATGGTATTTTTTGTTTTTAGAAAATGCAGAGTAAGCTAAAAATAGCTAAACTTTTAAAGAGTTTCGCCAGGTTCCATCAAGCTATTTTCGAGGTCAGGTGAATGCAGAACCAACATAGTTTCAAGACAATTAGTCAACTAGTTGTTATGGCAACTCACCAACTAGTTGATTTCAAAAGTATAGTTTTGCGAATAAAGCTTTCAGCAAAATACAGTTTAGTTTCACAGACGCTCCACAGTAAATTTCAAACCAAATTCTTTTTTTTTTTTTTTTTGATTTTGTGAGGTTTAATGTTCATCTGCATGAGTTTTGTTTCACACATCTGGCACATAAAGTACATTTTTACACCAAACATAATCCCCATGTAAAAAAAGACAAAAAAGTCATAATGCTTCACATATGGAAGAATAAATAGCAGTGACACATACGATGATTGAGTTCATGTGTTCATGATGACTCGGACGATGATTTTCCTTTACAAACATGAAGATATAATATATACATTGCATGTGTTAGAAAATATTAACAAAAAGTACAGCTTACGTGTAAAAAAACAAACTCGGCAGGATTGCAAACATATAATTGAAGTAAAATAATATAACAATTTCAGAAGAAAAGAAAAACAATTTACATATTATTTCAAATTATCCGAGGCAGTAGGACAACAAAGAAAACTCAACTAGTGACAAACAATGCATGATCTTCAGTGTTGAATAATAATAATAATAATAATACAAGTGGCAGCAATAATCCAAAATATGTGACATGGGGACAGGTATTCCTTTCCAGCAATGCGACCCAGTAACCACAGATAATTCTAATGCTACATTAGTACACACATACAAATCAATGCCAGACATAAAGGTGTGCACAGTAGGTAGCTTCACAAATTGTAACCTATCCCATAAACCACTGCAAAAATACATTTTTAAAACCAATCCAGAACAACTTTAAGGGTTTCGCTTTTATCACTTGTAACTTTCACATTGAGCACAAACACTGAGCATTTTTTTTTTCCAGCATGTACATTTGACATGGCCTAACAACATGAGCTTCATTCTTGTTAGATGATCTCATTCTTTGAAGAGGTCTGGTTGGGGTTGTAAAGAGGGCAGCAGTGATTTTTATTGGCTCTTCATAAAGGTTTCAGGGCTGAATATAATGCTGACTATGTTCTAGACGGTAAGAGCATATTGAGGATTGTTCTCTAAAAAAATACATCAACATATGCTTTTCTTTCAAAAATAGCTTAATGAGGAAGAAAGTTGTGGATTGTCCCTGAAAAGGTTTTGGGTAGGTCAACCAGTGTAACTAAATGGGACATTAATATTAGTTTTAACAAAAAGCTATTCAGGGATGATGAAAATTAAAGACATGGACTGTACAGAAACACATGCATTTTTGAGGACAACTTATGAATACAGCAGCAACGGAAATAAAACACATTATCTTTTAACAACAAGATTTAAAAGAAATGGATACACGAGAGTTACGATTATAAGGATCGCTTGAAACTTATTGGATGAGTGTCCTGATTAAAAAGTATCTGTTTATCTCTCTAAACCAGGGGTGCCCAAACTCGGTCCTGGAGTGCCGGTGTCCTGCAGAGTTTAGCTCCAACCCCAATTAAAAACACCTGAACCAGCTAATCAAGCACTTATAGGCATACTAGAAACTTACCAGCAGGTGTGTTGAGGCAAGTTGGAGCTAAACTCTGCAGGACACCGGCCCTCCAGGACCGAGTTTGGGCACCCCTGCTCTAAACCTTTGATAATACCAAATGTAAACATTTTTGTGGAAGCAAACATAGAATGCTCTATTTCTTTGGTAACTACAAGCAAAATTAGATGAAAGTGTTTATGTCATCAAAAAATAAGTTTTTATTTGTGACATTGTGTCAGATGATATCTTATGAGAGGAAGTGAAATAGAGCCCTTGAATTTGTCATTTAGAGCAGAGGGAACATTCACATTTTAGATTAGTATGACTAAATATTGTATTGATATTTGGTACTATTCGGTACTATTTGAGAATATGGGCACTGCCAATTTACCCATGTAATTCTGTTGCAGCAGAATCAGTGAAGGGATGTTGTGCCATGCCGTAATTTTGACAAAATGTCATGAGATAAATAAAATGTTATATTTGACGTCACTCAACTCAAGCATGTACAACAAGAAGCAAGCAAATATAATTTGAAGAATAAAAGAGTAACACACAAATGTGTAGCAATCGATAAAACAGAACTCACTGAAAGACGAAAAAGCAAAAAAGCAAAAAGGTGACAATGACAAAGAAACAGTTCTGTCATTATCTACTCAACCTCATGTGATTCAAATCTGTATGCATTAATTTAAAACTCTTAAATAAAAATAAAACTCTTAAATATTCTTCACGCAGTTCTTTTCCACACACCCCAAAATACAGGTTTTCACAATAATGCCACAGAATCAGCCATTTTGGTTCCCCAAAGTACTTTTCAGTTAACTTTTTTTTTTAAGAACCATTTTTACTTAGTTTGAAGAACATTTAAAAAAATCTAAAGAACCCCTTTTCACTAAAAAATAAATATATGACACTTATGGTACATCTATTGAGACCGAATACCTTTCAAATATCATTTGCACAGTTTTCTATACAAGATTTAAAAAGGTCAAAAAATAACCGAAAAGTTCCCTAAAACTGGTCCATACGACATTAATGGTACTTTTAAGGAGTTTGAGGCCCTTTAAATATCCTTCATGTGGTTCTTTTTCCATACAAGATCTAAAAAGGACAAAAAACTATACAAAAGAACCATAAAACTGGTCCACATGACATTTATGGTACTTCTGTGAAGTTTGTTGTCCTTTTTGGAACCTGACAGACTTAATTACTTTGAACCGTTTCCCAGTAAAGAGCTGCGAGAAGGTTATTCAAACATTCATCTTTATGCTCTAGAAAAAAAATACCAACATATGCTTTGAAATGACATGAGCGTGCATAAATAATGACAGAACGTTCCCTTTTGGGTGACAATTTCTTGAAACACTGTCAATGGTCAGACACTTGGCAGAATTTAAATAATGGAGGGAAAGATCTAAGACAGGTTTAGGCAGAGTGAAGGCTGATACCCTGTGTTCAGGAGAAGTGAGGTGTGCTGTTGTGAGGGGAGGGAGGGTATACAGTTGTGGTGCGGTGTTTCTATATTTACAGCACAAGACTAGGGGTCCTAACCACAGCCTCATAGTGAAACATGCAGTGCACAACACACACGGTTTCAGGTCCACAAACTACTGACATTTTTATTCACTGTTCCGAGAGACCGTCCGCATCCTGATGTGGCCAGCGCAGGACAACAGTAATGAGGAAGGAAGTGTTGTTCTCTCCAGGTGTGACGCGTAATGGCTATCCTGTATGGGGCAATGGGGCGTCTTCCAACTCAGACAGTCATGGGTCTAGACGGACTGCTCTTTGGGGTAGTTAAACGGAGGTCGGGGGCCGGGAGGGGCAGCGTTGGGCTGGAACGTGTACATGGGGGTATTAGTAGGGTGCTGGGTGTAAGGTTTCTGGGGCAGGAAGGTAACAGGGGGGTAGGCAGAAGGAGGTGGAGGTTCAACAAATTGTTCCTGGTTGCCTGGGTGATGGCTGCTCACATAGTCAGCTGGGTTCGGTAACTCTTCGTTCCCAGAGTTCTGTGGAAACAAGAAAATTAAAGCAACTAGTGGAAGATACACTGATATATGACAACGCACTGATCTCAAGTTGTATGGTACAAAACAGATCACACCAATAAGAGAATGATCATAATACTATACACAAATAAACAGCCTATGCAAATGAATACATAGTAACATTATCTGCAACATTTTTGCTTCTGGAAATCAAAGAGGCGTATGACACTGATGTGAGTCACGGGAAAGGACCTTAAAGAGCAATGAAACAATTTCCAGCAAGTTCTGTGCAAAGCATACATTCATATATCAGGATGCATAATATTACAACTATATTAATGATATATTTGTGATTATTTTGCTTTTGATTTTTTAAGCAATGGAGTTAATATCTTAAATATTTGAATGAAGTTAAAGGGATAGCTCACCCAAGAATGAACATATTATCATCAACAACTCACTCTCATGTTCCCATAAGACAATCATTGATCTTTTAAACACAAATGAAGATATTTCTAATGAAACCTGAGGAATTTCTGTCCCTCCATTGAAAGTCCAACTTAACAAGTCGGTTTAATTTTAAAGTGACATGATTCTTCCTTGTCTTGTGACTGTGTGAGTGTAAACATCAAAAGCAAAACAATATAGATTTTTAGAAGAAGAAAAAAACATACCAACATACTAAACAATATTGATATATCTGTAGGAAAGACATCAAAAGCTAAAAAAAATTGCTATGTTTTCCACCCTGCCCAGTATGTTTTACTGTATAGAGTATGGAGTATATTGGTTCGCTGTTTCAGTGCCTGATGCCACTAATGCTCAGTGCTGTATGCATTGTTTGAAGTGCAGTGTAGAGCGACAACACGCAATAGTCCGACACAAACAGCTTGTTCATATGTACAGTTAAACAGGAAACAAATAACATCTTCTTAGCTGATCAGTAGGACAGGTAGTCCATTCTAATACAACATGACAATTTATCACAGAAGTCTATAATTGCTGAAAAATCCTGGAAAACACTCTTATGTGTTGACACATGCCATTCTAAACTTAGTTTCCCGCAAGAAGTGCTGTAATAATAATTTCTTGACACGAGATGGCAAGAATGAAAAAACGATTGGAATATGACAATGTAAAGTGAAATGAGGAATGAAGTAATGAGAAAATTCAATAAGGAGAAAGAGAGAGTCAGGCAGACAGAAAAAGAGCCAAATTTACACCTGGTATTGCAACCAGTGAAATCAAAATTGACTATATTTACTTAGTGTTGTATGAGTGACTGGATCGCAAAGTGTTTTGGACCCCGTTTATGCCCGGTTATTTAGTACAAAGCACTTGTGATTGGATTACTTGAGATTAATATTAACACCAGGTGTAAATCGGGCCAGAGAGAAATAGTACACTAGAAGTGGAATGGAAAGATGACTTACGCAGGGTCCCCAAGCATTTTTACGTCTACGACAATGATGATTCCCACTCTGTGAGCAGTAATATAATGGAAGGAGCAACAATTTCAAAATAAACTCTGAACAATGTACCTCAGGGCTCACCCCTGGGCCATCTTCTTTTCTCAAAGCTGACAGTGAAAGACACAAGCTGGACACATGAGGTTCAGATGACATGGAATGAAAAAGGACAGATGGATGTGTGAAGGAATCTGCTCACACATTCATCAGATCTCATAGACATCTTTGTGTTCACATAAAGACATCTATCAGTTGAAACAGGATTGTGTCAGTAGCTATTTTAGTACAATTGAAAACATATAATCTCTGCACAAAGAGCTTGGAAACTACATAAAGTATAATCAAAGAAACTGAACCTTTAAATCATAAGGTGATATTTAAATATCTCGATTAAATGAAACATGGCTAAACATGGGCTTAGTTTTCTGATGAACAGAAAGCCATCATTACAGCTACTTCACTTAGATGCACAAGCACTTCAAGTGATCTGAAGCATAATGTTACAGACAGTTAAAAATCTTTATTTTTTCTCAGCAGAGAAAAATATATTCACTGGCTTCAGTTCTGCAAATAACAAAAAGCTACTTGGCCTCAGACTCGCCTGTTATCATTTGTTTGATCATGCATAAGATGCACCCAGCAGGGGAGAACTGAACTTAAAAGAATAGTTCACTCAAGAATGAACACTTTGTTATCGCTTACTGATGCTCATGTCGCTCGAAACTCTTACGGCTTTCTTTTTTTCTTTTTTTTTGGCTTGCTTGGAATATTTAGATATTTATTGCTGCTATTTGTTCATAGATTGAAAGTGGATGGGGACCAGGGAAGCTGTGGTCACAATTTACTTTCATTGTAAGGAAAATAACAGCTTGGACATTGTGCTAGATTTTCTTCTTTTGTGTTCTACGCACAGAAATATTGTTTTCCCTCATGGAGAAGTTAACCCTGTAGCTATCAGCCAATAATATTTGCTTATGAACATCTGTCTTGCTCATTAAACATGAAGGTAGAGCAAGAAAAAAAAATACTGAAAAAAAAGAAAGTTTAAATATACACACTGAGCTTCAAAATATGTTCTTGGGCAGATCTTTATATATTTCTTTATTTCTTTATTGTCATCACATTAAATAATAGCTCATATTTTGTCATTCATTGCAATAGTTCAGAAAGAAGTTTGCCAACTGATTTGAACAAGTTAGACTGTATATCATCCAAGGCACAAGTGACCCCTAATATATATATATATACACATTAAAAACAACAATTACAAATTAAAACTAGTACAAACTAAGTTAGAAGTGGGACACATTAATTATCAATGTGGACTTCCTTCATCTGAAAGACAATAATTTAGGGGAAATATATTTTTTAATTAATTTCAAATGTAATTGGAATTAATTTAGGTGGAACTTAATCTATAGCTCCTCTTGTAAAAAAAGGGGGGGGGGGTAACAATTATGTTTTATCTTTCAGTGCAGAGATAAAAACTAAGTGGTTCATTTACTGCCTTGGGAAAAATATACAGGAAAAAAAACCTTGAAGCTTTAATGTTAACTGAACTAATAAGCTTCCAAACAACTCTGAGGAATGTCTCCAGGTTACGTATGTAACCATGGTTCCCCGAAGGGAACGAGACGCTGCGTCGTAGAACGATTTGGGAATGCCCCCAGTGTGACCACGCTCTGAATCACATGTGTAATCAGTCCAATGGAAGGGCGAGACATCATATGCAGGTGACGTAGCGACCAGGAAGCTATAAAAGCACGTGAAGTGGAACCAGCGTCAGCTTCTAGGAATGAAGCAAGCGCTCGCAGGGATGCTGGAAGTATGCCCCTGAGACGCAGAGTCTCGTTCCCTTCGGGGAACCATGGTTACATACGTAACCTGAAGACGTTCCCCTTCAGGAACTCGAGCTGCGTCGGAGAACGCTTTGGGAACGAGTATGCCCACGCCGCCAGACTTGCAAATCCCTGCCTAGTGTAGAAGAGCACAGCTAGGATGAGAGAACAGAAGAGCCAGGAGTGGCTCGCATATCTAGGCCATAGAACCTGATGAACGTGAGGGGCGTGGACCAACCCGCAGTGTTGCAGACGTCCTGCATGGACACACCTGCCAAGAAGGCCTTGGAGGCCGCCATACCTCGGGTCGTACTGGACAAATGCAATTAAGCTTCTGCTGGTCTGGCTACCTGAAGGGAGGAGGACAAAAGGCCTGTAGTACGATAGGCTGTGGTGTAACAGAAGGAACCTTAGGGACATACCCCGCTCGAGGGTAGAGAAACACTTTGGCTATGCCGGGCGCAAAGTCTAAGTAAGAAGGGGCCACTGAGAGGGCCTGAAGGTCCCCAACTCTTTTTACAGAAGTAATAGCCAGAAGAAGGGCAGTCTTAATTGTCAGATAGCTATCAGAAATGTCTTCAATAGGCTCGAATGGAAACTTACAAAGAGCTTCTAGCACCACAGCCAGGTCCCACGTGGGAACGCAAGATCGTACTGGGGCCCTCAGCGCACCGCGGAGGAAACGTGTAACTAGGGGGTGTCTGCCCACTGACTGACCACTGAGTGGTAGGCCGCAATGGCCACCACGTAGACCTTCAGGGTGGAGTGGGTCAATCCTACAGAGAGACGGGCCTGTAAGAGCTCCAACACTGTACCACCCGGGCAGTTAACTGGGTCGAGCTGGCGATCTCCGCATCAAGAAGTGAAATGTTTCCACTTCAAGGCGTACAGTTTCCTTGTAGAAGGAGCTCTGGATTGGAGGAAGGGCTCAACAACCTCGGTTGAGAGACCGGAAGCTACGAGTTGTGCCCCCTCAGAGGCCACACCCATAACTTCCACAGCTCCGGGCGGGGGTGGAATATCGTGCCCTCCGCCTGTGAGAGGAGGTCCCTCCTGACGGGAATCTCCCATGGAGAGCTGTCAAGAAGGGAAATCAGGTCTGAGAACCATACTCGGCCCGGCCAGAACGGGGCTACTAGTAGCTGACGGACCCCATCCCAGCGCACTCTCTCCAGAACTCCCGGGAGCAGAGCAATCAGGGGAAAAGTGTACAGACAAAGCCTCGGCCAAGTCTGTACCATAGCATCCAGCCCCAGTGGAGCCAGATGAGAGAGAACCAGAGGGGACAGTGCGATGTCATCTGAGTCGCAAACAGGTCCACCTGAGCCTGGCCAAACATTCTTCATATTTTCTTCACCACCTCGGGGTGAAGCCTCCATTCCCCGGGCCTCGGCCCCTGCCTCGACAGGATGTCTGCTTCCATATTCAAATACCCAGGAATATGTACTGCTCACAATGAAAGGATTTTGCCCTGGGACCACACAAGGATCTGGTGCGCCAGCTTGTACAAGGGGCACAAACACAGACCTCTCTGGTGGTTGATATAAGAGACCACCGCTGTGTTGTCGGTGCGCACTAGCACATGGTGATTTCTTAGGTCTGGGAGGAAGTGCTTCAAAGCTCGAATTACGGCCAGCATCTCAAGGCAGTTGATGTGCCGAGTGAGATGGTGATCGCTCCACAGAACGTGGGCAGGGTGGCCACTCATGACCGC